AGGGAGACGCGGGCGGTGGGACCGAGACACGCCGCGGTCCCGCCGCCTGAGTCCTCCGTGGCTTTGCTCCGCGTCTCCCTGGTCTGCTGGGGATTCCCCCAGCAGACCAGGGAGACGCAGAGCAGCTTTTCTTGCCCCGGAGAACACGGGCGGCGGGACCACGGCGCATCTGGGCGGTCCCGCCGCCCGCGTCCTCCGGGACGAGAAAAGCCCCGTTCATATTTGTGTAACCTGGGGACTGCCTGTATACTGAAATACAAGAAAAGAATGAAGGTAAGCATTTAACACCTATTAATTACGTTGAAAGAATCAAAATTTATGACCAGCTACTGCAAATACTCGCTACTCATTCATTCAGCACCATTAACAGCAACAAGACTCTCTAAAGTAGGACCGTTCATATAAGCAGGAGTTTGCTATAAGAGGTCCTTATGCATTAGTCCAAACTAAATATTGTACCAATGGTTTAATAGTTACAGCATCTAGATACAAGGGCCACAAAGATACCTGACAGGAAATGGACCTGGCAATATAATGTGCCTTTTCTTATCAGTAATTGCAATGATCTACAACCCCTACTGCACATATTTTCAAATTTATTATAGAACAAAGTCACGTGCAGGACTACCATCCTCCAAATGTTTGTTTAATCCATGACATTAAAACAATACTTTATATCTTGCACCATATTTGCAGAGTAGTGCATTAGTTGCCAAGGAAAATAATCAGCCATTTGAAAAACAGAAATCTTTCATATACTACAATACAATATACTTAATTCAGTTTTGAGGAACCTAGGAAATAGCACTAATGAAGAAAGCTTTTATTTCTCTGAAAGGAAAGTTCAGGGGTTTTCACTTGATCTGGAATCTCCTTTTTGAAGATAACAAAAGGAGCACAGAAACTTGACTATTTAATAGCACTCTTAGCACACTTAAGGCAGTGATCAATCAGGAGTAGAAAACAATGAAATACTATATTTATAAGGAAAATGTACACCTGCAGCATAGACTCAAAAAAAAATAAGACCCACTGGATGTTTTCTTTTTTAAATTAATTCTTTTCCATAATGATGGTAAACTAATTTCTTATGGTCATTTGTAAGAATCTCAAACACTGCAATTTAGTTAGGGTTGGTCCTGTTTTAAATAGGGGGCTAGATTTGACTTTGTGAGGTCTCTTCCAGCTCTAGGATTCTGTGATTCTAATTGTCATTGTTATGATCCTACCACATTTTACACAAAATATTTTTAAAACGTAAAATTGAACAAAGCAGAATTTAAGGTTATGCAAGTTTCTGAGATGAAAATTTTACAGTATGTTCACTAATGTATTTAGTTTTGGCTTGTTTATAGAAAATTTTACATTTATCATTTAAAACAGAATTGTCAAGCAGTGCTTTGGGTTGCATAGCAATATAGGTCATCCTAAAGAAGATGTTAGGAAGAAAATATTAATCTTTTAAATTAACTGCATGACTGGATAAATGGTTAGCCAAAAGATTTGTTTTGGAGCCTGTTGAGAACTCCCGATTTTGGGTTTCAGGTTCTGTGGCTATTCTGATGATAGGGTAACTAAACTAGAAAAATCTCCCCTCCCAATCATCTTCTCCAGTGACAAGAACCTTAACCCCATTCTACTAACTAACAATCCTGTTAGCACTGAGAAACCACAACCTATTGAGATATTTAAAGAGCACTTTTTATCATGCTATCTCTCTGGTACAGACATGGCAGTCATAGCCAAGTTATGCACATTGAATTTAACTGACAAACCATCCCCGGGCCTAGAGTATGAGAGGGCTCGCCCATGATTCCATGACATCATGCAATGGTTTGCAGTACTCTGAAACCAGAACAGGCAAGCGGAGTAATTAATGGGCATAAGATATCTGCACAACTCTTATGACAACAGGAAAAGGAAACAGTAAAATTCACTTGATTCTAAATGGAGGCTCTAAACAAAAATTGCTGAAGCTGTGAGTGCCATGTAGAAAGTGGAGTAGCTATGCCATGCCTCTATCACTTTCTGTTATTTTAGTGCGATGATGTTTTCAAACACTAATTAAAAATAAGCACCACCTAGATATAACATGATATGCAAGTTCCAAGTCCACATTTTTCTGAACTCTGCTGCTTGTGTGCCCCTTCCAAAATGTGTGTGGGGAGGGATTGCATTTTCATAAAAAAGCTAAAAGAGGACTTACTAGTGTCACTGTCTCCATTGTTTCCTTACGCAGAATCTGAATCTGCCAGTGGGCATCTAATTCATACTGGAAAACTGAGCCACTATCGTTCCACTCCAGATATAATGTGTAAGTTGAAAAGTCAGGACTCAGACTAAGAATTTGGGGGGTGAGAGGAATAAATGCTTGAAAAGAAAGAAAAAAGCATACATTTCAAAATCATTACATAACATGATCAGCCAAAGTGCCTGCAGATGTTCAATAGCTGCAGATATGAACTGGCTCACAGCCATACCAATGTGAAGTATGGTCTCATTAAGTAAGCTGGGTTGAGACTTGCCATTCCTCAGGTGGGAAATTTCCCAAGAACACACATGTCCTCTGAAGTTGTATTGGTTTCTTCTGCTGCATTAGGTGTGACCAGGGCTGGTATCCTACTCTACCAAGCTGCTCTAACACACTCCTCTTTCCCACAGCTTTCTGTCAATGACTGGCTGAGAAAATCTCCTCCCCATCCTAGCCCCTCTTCCTATTGTATCTATATAAATGAGACTGTCAGAGTCTCAAGATCTAAATAATAAATTGTGAATGAAGTAACTATGCTTCCCATGTTCATTAGGAAGTACTGTGCTCTTGTGGAGTGGAACCTCGTCATATGAGATAAAAGAGAGGCCCATTAGCCACTAAGGTCTCATGGTGCTTTTCGTGAAGGGTGACTGCTCTGCACAATTCCACGCTGGGAAAAATACATTCTAATTGCTTCTCCCATCTCTGCTTTAATTAGTGGATCCCCCTCCCAATTCCTATACTAAAAATGGCTATTTATAGCAGTCATTCCCAAGTGACTGTTCCAATGTGGGTACACGTCTAGGGCAGATGACTGAGCAAGAGAAACAGGACCTTGTTCCATGGTCCCACATCAGCAGTAAGTTCAGTCCTATGGCTCTGCTCTCTAGCCATAAACTAGCTCAGCTACTTTCCTCCACAATCAGCCCTAATTGTTGGGCTTATTCCCGTATTAAGTACTACACTCAGCAGAGGTACTGCAAGGTGGAGCTAATTAAACAGGGCTGACCAGCTCAGGGGCTTTACAGGGAAGACCACCCTGTTCTAGAACTTTTTTTTGGTGGTCCTAGTAGCAACAAGAGACACAAAGAAAGATATTGAGTCCCCTAAAATGTTGTGAAAGTGTGGGGATAAATGGTGCTCAAACAGTGGTGGTACAAGGAAATAACTTCAAGGTGAGAATTATCACTGATAGTTTTTTTAGAAAACATAGTTCTCCCACCAGATTCCCAAACAAGTTAGCCTGAGAGAGTAAGTTGTTTTCTATTATGGTATCAAATATCATATTTGGCTACCATATTATGTATTCAGCAAAAAAATGCCTGTGCATGGTGGAGCACAGGGGAGTTCGGCATCTCAACAAAAGCAGCTCTTCATACAGGGAAATGCTGCCAAAGAAAACTATAAAATCATCGTATGCATTTCCAGAATGTTATAGTTAAGTGTTCATATAAAGCCATTAAACATGAACTTGATACTCACAAACATTTTTCTCATGCAATACAACTGTTTCAGTAGCTAAAGTAGTTCCAGAAGCATTTAGTGTGGTTATCTCTAGGGTAGTGGAGCCAATTGTGATGGGAATGTCTACTCTTTTTTCCTCAGTTTCAATACACACTGAAGAGGAGGACTCACTGAAATGATAATAAAGAACAATTAGACAAGTTCTCCGTGAATCAGGAAGTTAGAGAGCTCTCTCCTAAATTTAAAATTGCAAACCTTTAAAGATCCAATTTTTTCTCAGAACAGTAACTGAGAGAGAACAGAATCAAATGTCAGAAGAAGCAAGATTTGGATAGATTTTTGGCTATTTTAGATTGACTGAGCACCCTATTTTCTTTAAAAACAAGTCCCTTCAAGTTGTCTAACACAGGCTGACGAGGTTCCAAATTTGGGTACCAGAGATGGAAGGCATTCCAGGCAAAAGAAAAAAAGTGAAAAATTGTGACATTTTATTATTCAAAAGACTATTCCAACCCCTTACTCGGCTCCAATCAGTGTTTTATCAACCACCACCAAATAGCTTTTATTCGCCTTGCATTCTGTCTTAGTGTTTTTCTTATAACTTTTTGTGGTAGGGATGCGGATGTTTATCCCCATTTGGAGACAGAGCTGATGCTTCCTTTTGAGGCTTAGCCTATAGAGAAATAAGAGGGTAAAACAGAATGTAAGTTATTTGGCACAGGGGATGCACTTTCTGTTGTGTGTACAGAATGCCCAGCAAAATGAAGCCCTGATCTATGACTGGGACACTTTAGCCCCATATAATTAAGGCTACTATCTAGTCAGAGGTCACAGCAGTCACACATCCCATGACTATTGGACCTCTGTGACTTCTAGGGCTTCAGGAGGCAACACTGTGTGTCCCGGCACTGCAACTGGACGTAGCTGGAACCAGGAAGCTGCAGCCCTCCACCCTGCATCCTCTGCCAGGGGCTGCAGCTGGGGCCATGGGCCTTAGCCCAATGACATTCTGGGCGTGGCAGGGGCTGCATGCCCTAAGCCCGCCATGGCAGGCATGGGGATAGGAGGGTGTCACAGCATGTCATTTCCCACTTATGGGACTCCATTTCTTCCCCCTGCCTAACCCTTCTCACTGGTTATTTTCAGTTAAGTTATGAATAGGACATGAACTCTGTGGATTTTTATTTATTGCATGTGACCTGTCTGTGACTTTTACTACAAATAACCATGATATAATCTTAGCCTTATCCATAACTAACCATCATTTTGATGGATAGGACTGGACTTGAGTCCCCACTCTCCTTATAATTTTGTATGTAACTGGAGCGGGGGAAAAGCTTGGAAAGTTTCCAGATCTTCCTCTTGGGGGGAGTAGAGAGGGAGGAGAGGAAGAAGTCATAACAATGCCCAACTTCCTGCCAATTAGCTATCACTTGCTTAGATGGGACCCTGGAGCCTTCCCCTTTTGAAGTGGTTTGTGGAGATTGATAAGGCCAATGCACCCGGCTCAGTCTTAAGTGCTTCAGGATGACTAACCCTGCCCACTATGTAGAGATTATTTCCAAAGGGATCTTGGTCACTGAGAGTATCAGGTGAAAGTCTGCTGGATGGGATTTAACTGTTACTGAGCTCCCTTTCAGTGGCTCCCAAGAATGTCTCCTCACCTTACAGCATTCTGTGCATGCTCACTCCACCAGACAAAGGGGAAAAGGAATAGAGACAGCAGCTTACTGGGTGATCTTGTTCAGGAGACAGAATCCCAGAAAATTTGCTCCTCTAAACAAGATGATGGTGAGGGGATTCAGTGTGCGCGCGCGCACACACACACACACACACACACACACACACACACACACACACACACACACAGAATGTAAGCACATTAAACTGACACTCTCTCTATACCACTATAGCCAAGTGTGAGAGGCAGGGAAGAGATTCAACCAAGCCCCGGAGCTGCATGAACAAGTCTGAGCTATCTTCACTACGCACAGGAGAGAGGCATAGCTCGAATATCAGAACCAGGAAAGAAGTCAGGATCTAGAAAAGTCTTAAAACCTCATCCCTAGTGCATGACCCAAAAAATTGGCAGATTTTCATCCTGGTGAGTTACACATAGAATGCACAAAGGTTCTGCACATGTGGCTGAACCCCCCCCCCCCCCCTCAACTTTTTGATGGTATTTTAAAAATCTAAAATTTACCCCATTTCAAACAAGTTCTTTCAATTTTGTGTTCTCCTCCAAAAGCATTTATCTTCAAATGGATTTAATATTTAAATTGGTTAAAAAAATGGGATTTTACTTAGCTGTAATCTAAGTTCCCTAAAGATATTTTCAGGTTTATTCTTAACACTTAAGGTCCCAAATATTTCAGCACAGAACACATTTCAGTCATTTCCTACACTATGAAGATATCCTTTTTGAAAACAGACAACAAGGGCCAAATGGACACACACAGATCTCAGAAGAAAGAACTCTCAACTCAATGTGAGGGAGTAGCAGGGTGTACTAACAAGAGAATCTTTGGCACACAGAGATCATTTTCTGGGAAACCTACAATTGCCCAATTTAGAACTGAAGACATTCAGAGCAGAAGACACCATCGAGCTGTAACTGATTAGTGGACAGATATGCTCTGAGAAACACAGGATGTTACAAAGGTCATGAATATGAATTGCAGAACAATGATTCCTACATAATTTGATAAGAAGAAACAATTACCTGTCCCAATAACAAATCTTATATGTCAGTCCAAAGTTTCTACTGGAGGCAGCATCCCAGGAACACGTCGTCCTGTTTAAATCATGTGTGATACATTTCAAATTCTGAAGTGCTTCTGAAAAACCTGAAATTGCAACATCTCTTGAGTTTACATAGCAGCAATTTAATGCTCTCAGACTGATGCTACAGATACACACATCTTACTGATTACCTCACACTTATTTACAATACTTTCAAACTTCCATTACATAGTTGAAGATCAAGACATGACCAATGATTTTGAGTGCACAAACAGAAACACCTTACAAAGTACAGGCAAGGCAGTCCCCGGGTTACGTACAAGATAAGGACTGTAGGTTTGTTCTTAAGTTGAATCTGTATGTAAGTCGGAACTGGCGTCCAGATTCAGCTGCTGCTGAAACTGACCACCAGTTCCGACTTACATACAGAATCAACTTAAGAACCCCAAGCGTCCCAAAGTCAGCTGCTGCTGAAACTGATCAGCGGCTGATTCTAGGAAGCCCGGGGCAGAGCAACTCTGCCTCGGGCTTACTGTAGTCAGCCGCTGGGCAGGTTTCGCAAGGGGCG